ATATCTTATGGGAAAGTCAGCCTGCGGCAGCCTGGGGGTCTGGATCGGGGAGAGCTCACGATCCGCCCGCTGAGGATCTGGGGCTGATATGGCCTGTTTGGTCGGCCGAGCGAGATCAGGGGCTGAGGCGGCCTGCTCGTTTGGCCGTTGATGCGGCGTATTACTCACGGCTGTGAAACGGCCGGGCGCCATCTTTGATGGAAGGTCTTGCAGGCCGGTCGGCTGGCAGTGGCCGAAATAGCGCCGAATACCGCTGGACGAGGACGGAGGGGATGAGCTCCGGGGGCCGGTGAGAGTGGGACATGCGGGAAGAGGGTCCTTAAAGTCAGCTATAAGCGTGTGGGAGAGGAGGCCGTGCAGAGCTCTGGGAAATCAAGTCCTCACACAGCCATGTCCAGGCCACGCCCCCTCCATCTACCATTTCAACCAAATAGTTTTTTTTTCACATCTCTTTTTGTTGCACAACATGTAGTGCCATTAGCAAACATTGCCATCAGCCTTACAAAAAACAACAGGCAAGAAAAGAACAAAGAATGCTCAGAGTGCAGCTTGAAGCACCTTACATCTGCAACTAGCATCAGCAGAGGTCTGCACAGCCACCTGGTAAAACCTTAATGTCTGAACAGATATCCTGGTGGTTGGGAATCTAGTAAACAGATGGTTGATGCTTAAAACCCATAAAACACTAACAAATATAGTAGAGAGAGTTTTAACAAGGCAGTGTCCTTATCCTTCAAACTATAGGCTCGAATGATGACCGACCTAGCAATAGTAGAAAGAGAAGCAAGGAGTACCCTGCTTGATCCCTTGTTAAGGACAACAATGGAATCTGACTGCTGGAATGATCTGATAGCAGAGAAGTAAACTTGAATGGCAACATTCTAGATCTTGTGTTCTCTCACCTATGCTCTCCTTGCAACCTCTCCAACACCCCTTTGACCCTCTCAGACCACAATCTTGTCAGTTTCACCCTCACCCTCACCCTGTCCCCAACCCTGAATCCACCTACATGGCACACTGTCACCCGGAGAAACCTTCACCAGCTCGACCCTTCTCTTCTCTGCTTCGGACTACCTATATGACAAAATCTCGACCCTGTCCTGCCCTGACCTGGCTACTTCTGTCTTCAATAGCTCGCTGCTTTTGACACAGTTGACCACCCACTGCTCCTCAAAAAACTCCACTTGCTTGGCCTACAATATTCTGCTTTCTCATGGTTCATCTCCTACCTATCTAAGTGCTCTTTTAGTGTAACCTTCAAATCTACCTCTTCCTCTCCTCCTGCCCTTTCTGTAGGGGTTCCCCAAGGCTCAGTCCTTGGAACACTTTTCCTTTCTATCTACATCTCCTCTCTTGGTCAGTTGATCACCTCACATGGCTTCTAGTACCATCTCTATGCTGATGACACTCAAATATATCTCTCCACAACTCACCTCCTCAGTCTCCTTATGTATCACTAACTTACTAACTGACATATCAGTCTGGATGTCACAACATTTCTTTTTTTTTTTGTGCATGTAATTTTTATTGATTTTTCAAAGCATACACAAGAAGAACAATCAAAGTATCAGAATACAATACAATCATATTATAGAGGTATGAGAACAAGGTTGGAGTGCTAGATTCAGGCAGGTTATGTCCAGAGATCACACCCTAATTGAGTTAACCCCTACTTGGGGTATAAAAATCAGAATGTTTGTGGCACTCAACAATCTCTACTATATAATAATCTTAGTAAAGAGAAAGGGATATGATCTAAAGGAGATCAAATCGAAGACAGTAATTTAGGGTTGGAGTGTCAACTAAGGTACACAAATATATTTTATTCAATTATTCAACCTATTAAAAGATGGTTGGTCCAACCATTCAGACACTCACTTCATACATGCATTCACGGACAAGCTGATTAATATGAGTATGAAAACCGGTGGAGCTCTCAATGATCAAATTGAAGCTGATCGCCACATTGTTTTCACATGCTATCATGCTATCACCCCTCTGAAAAAATGTGGAGAGTGAATAGGGGGGAGTGATTGCTGCAGATAGTAACTGCCACTGCAGGATATCAAATTCAATATGTCCCAATGGATCAATGTATCTAGTAACAGATGGTCACTTTTGTAACCCTGGCCTGCAGTGATAAAGTACTATGTATGAAACGTACTGAATCAAGGATATCCTCATCCGGATTTCACTTCTTGGGTCAGAGTATAGTCCCTCACAGTGGTGGTTAAATATCACCTGGTATTCGATCTCATGCAGCAAGATCTCCAAACAAACGATGCACAATTTCAATATGTAGATTCCTCTCGATTGTATAATCGGTTTGGATCGTACTGCTCTGGGTGATCTTCAATTGAAGAGATAGGGAAGAAAGAATCTTTTATTTTTCCCCGTGGGGTTTTCTAGTATATCAGGAGATTTTAAATAGCTCCACTGCAATTCCAGCTACTTGTCCACTGCCATGACGCGTTTAACCCGCCTACTTTCCCAGGGCTACATCAGAAGATTCTGACACAGCCCTGGGAAAGTAGGCGGACAAAACACGTCATGGCAGTGGACACCTAGCTGAGTTCTCACCTGCATGTCAGGCAGTACACTCCGGTGTTAGATTCGAGACGACACAAGGTGCGATCACATGACGTCCTGGGTGCCGATAGCTGATTTAATTGCAGATGGCATCGGCGCCTGGAAGTTGCGGTATTTAGGACTGTGGGTGGCGTTGGACTACATGTCGCAACCGCGGGACGCAGATGCCATGCACAATTAAATCAGCTCTCCGCACCCAGCGGTTGCGACATGCAATGAAATTAGTGCCTCCCCCCCAGATTTGACTGTGGTATCTTATGTGTCCCCCCATACATTGTTCCTAGAGTAGCCACTGAAGTAAAGGCAGCTGTGTGCGCCATCTCTTTGCTGTTTTTGGACAAACCACAGCCAAACTAGTAGATGCGGATATGTTAAAGTGGCAGGGGCAGTGTCCCCTGCCTCCCGGTTCCAACAGACACTACTGTCGCCGCTTTAACACAGCTGCACCCACCTGCTGGACCTGCTAAAGGTGAGCACTTGTGCTGGCATGGAAGGAGCTGCCATTAACGCGTGTGTGCAGATGGCATCCCACAGGGATCAGACTGTGTGTGATGGCTATCTGGTCTGAAGTCTGCCGTGTATTGGTTCTGGTCCAAAGTGTGCCATGTATTGGTTCTGGTCCGAAGTGTGCCGTGTATTGGTTCTGGTCTGAGGTCTGCCATGCATTTTGCCATTTAGCTCTCTTTCCAAATTGCCTATATTGGTCTAGATTCTGAAATTCTCCTACCAGTTCCCCGGCAATTCATCTCTTAGTGAATTGGCCCACTATTTAAAAAATAATGTGGAGAAAAAATGTATGTGACACAAGAATGTCTATGCAGGTGGGGCGTGTGGGAGGAGCTTGTATATGGGTGGAGCTCAATGGGGCCCCATAATCTTGTATTGCCCGGGGGCCCCATGTGTTGTCAGTCTGCCCCTGGTCCTGCACCGCCACACAGAGATCGTGCAAACGCGCTGGGGACAAAGACTGGAGGGGAAAAAACGGGCTGGGGAGGGGAAAGAAACCCCTATTTATTACCCTGAGACAATGAGTTTACGAACCCCACAGTTCAAAATGCAAGCCAACCAACGCATCCGCAAACAAGCGAAGATGTCTCCGCACCCTGATTTAACCAGGTGGGGGCGAACCTTCAATTAAAGGGAGGCTTCTCTGTGGGCTTGGAGAAGGAGGGTTTGCCATATTCACAACCCTTATTTTAGATGCCTTGGGGATAGAAAAAAAAAGACATTCATCAGAGGAAAAGGAAAGACCCTGCTTACTCAGAAGCTCCTCACCCTTCTTAAGTTACAGCAAGAAGTTAATTTTGCCCCCAGTAAGGTGTTTGATAATATAATTCAGCGTTGCTCCAAGCAAGCAGTCCTCCTTAAAGGGTAGGTCCTTCAGTTCTTCTTTTGGAAATCTGGTCAGTAGACCAGCACCAAAGTCACAAAAGATGGCAAAGGACATCCGCAGAACTCAGACAGTTAAGACAGCAGAGGTATGGTATCCAGCGAAGCATTACAGACATATTGGAGACCTTGGATAAGCTGATCCACCAGTTCCACATAAACAGGAGACAGCGGTTTACCTTCCAGACCCTGGCGCAGTAGCTTTGCCCACTCAGTGGAGTGTTTGAGGCATCAAGGCCTTGAACAAAACCATCTACAAGGCTAGTCCAGCGATAATATACATAGATTTTGCTATGGAGCCCACTCTTCTGTCCATCAGGTCCTTGATGGAGGGGGACTCCTTAACCGGAAAAAATTTAGCCTTGTGCAGACGTGACACAGGAGGGTCCACGACTGGGGGAGTCCACTTTGTTAGGAAGCTCTCCATAACAAGGTAGCCAACAGAAAAGTGATTCCATTCCTTATGAATGACATTTAAAAAAAAAAAAAAGAAGTAGTGATAATGGTAAAACTATGGTCGAGCGCCTTGACCTGTGCATACCAAAAGAAAGAATATCAGAGTATCTGATGGAGCATCTGCAAAATCCTCAATAATCAGGCGTGTCACACACAGCCATAATCATGGTATAATATATTTTCTTGCAGCAAAAAAAAAAATGGAGGTGGCAGCCTCGTCATCACTGCCCGATCAGCGGAACCCAGCGCCTCTAGTTGAGCGGAAAATGCAGCAACTTCTTCCTCCTCCCAGGAAGACCTAGATTGGGTGGACGCTTCCAACTCTGATTTCAGCTAAAGGCTTGTCCCATGCGGGAAACAAACCGTACCATAACGGAAGCGAGCGTCTCCATATCCTGAAACAGTGGAAGGAGCAGCCCCCCTACAGACAATGCCGCCTGAAGCTGCACCCGACCTCCCAGAGCCATCCGCGATATGACATCTGGTGCCCCAGCCACAAACACGTCCTCACCAGGAGCCGCCTGTAAGCACTGCACTGCTAACCAACAAGAGGGCCCCCAGCAGACTCAACACCCCCAAGTGTCCGGTACAGCAAAGGATACAGCCGTCCTTCTGCCACCACGTGCAGCATGAGCCAGGGAAGCACCAATGACGAGCATCCAAGCCGCAGCTGCTCTGAAGCACACAGTGCCACGCCCCCCAAGAGTAACAGTGTGTCTGTGAACACAGACACAGTAGCACAGCCAGCACACAGTGGCTCAGTGAGGGAGAAGCAGACTACAGCCATGGGGGGGGAGGACGGACAAGCCCAGTGAGGAAAATAAAAGCCTGGGAACATACAGCGCTCAGGCATGGCAGAAGGGAACCCAGGGGAAAAGGGACCGATCTTAGCTAGTTCACAGGGCACTACATGAGGAGAGCCACCGGGGTCAGCTCCCTATAACAATCCAGCAAGGAAGAGAGCAACACTTACCACTCCAGGTAGAGGACAGGGTACCATCTCTTACAACAGATTGCCTCCCAAAACATGGCTGGTCGGTCATATGCACCCCCTTGAGGTATTTCACAGGCTGCCCTGGATCCCAAGGGGGCTGTCACTGTTGAACCCGCATCAAAGCTAGGATCTGTATGTGCTTGGAGGCTGAGCTGGAGAGGCTACAAAGACCCATATTATTCAGCCTGTCAACCAGCTCTGCTGTTGATTGAAGATCAAGAAAAAAATAAAGTAAAAGAAAAAGAACTAAGATCCCCAGCAAGAAGCTAGGTCCATACTCCTGGACGATAGGCAAAAAGTGAGCTGCCTCTAACAAGTGGGCTTGAGCTTCTTTGTTGGGCTTTTTGAGTTTGGTTTTGATTCAGCTGTGTCCTCCAATGAACAAAAGAGAAAATAGGAGTTTTTGTACTGCATAATCCTTTTCTCTGCATTCATTAAGTGACACAGCTCACTCCCATCTGGAGTTATCGGTGCCTTTTTTTCTCTGCTGCTTTGTAAATTAACTGTGCTTTGTTGTTTTTCTGCCTAGTGTCCTACTCTTGCAGATGGTGGTATATCCTTCTGTTAAATAGAGATTCAGCTGTGTCCTTCAATGAACGGAAGAGAAAATGCAATGACGCAACATCTGAACCCTGCAAAATTTTATTTTCACTTGTGTCTGGTAAATGTGTAGGGAAGAAGTAAGAAACCTATTACTTTTATAAATAGGGTGAATGTCAGAATAAGCACTCTTTTTATTCAACAGCAGACAATGTCTATTGTCTTGGAATGTATTTTGCACCTTGTGACTATACAGCGAATGTGCATTATAAATAGGATGAATGTTCCCCATTTAATGATCGGCAAAACTATGTTAACTTTGTTATCAACGCTTTTATTAAATATACCCTAAATTTAACTTATAAAAAATATAGTCTACATATAACCTCTTTCAAAATAATGGAACAATTACAGAACATTATAGATTTAATTGATATGTGTACTTCCATCTTAGAAAAACAAAGATTAAAAGATGTAAACCCTATCTGGATGACATTTATCAAAAATGCTGTTTTTTGTTCCTTTTAGAATATACTGCTTGCACCGTTTTCCTCTTTTGTTCAACCTTTCTTGCATCCCATTTCTCCAACCTGTCTCCATGCAGCCACGTACTGTCTACATGTATGTGCTCTAGCCGTGGCTGCATGTTTTTGCACTGTGGAAAAAACATGCAGGTGGTGATAGTAGTGAGCTATGTCTGCAAATGAGCCTGCATGCCTCCCTCATGTCACCAGGTGGCAATGCAAGAGAGCAATTAAGAGACAGGGACAGAGGGTTATCTGTGTGCCTGAACATGGACCTTTTTGGCAGAACCACCAGGTATTATTTTAATTAAGGCTGCAGATTAAAAAAAAAGCTTTGAAATTACATTAACAAATTAAAGCTTCTATAAGATTTTAATTTACACGTACAAAATCAAGATATTTTACTTACTTGGCTATAACTGGAATAGATACAGCTTCTGTTATTGCCTTAATAAAGTCACAATGAACAGGGTGTTGTGGCCTTTCCTCTTTTTTCCTTTGTAAAGAAAAGTAGAAATAATATCAGATTACTTATACTTCCATTGTCCTGTAGGGTACCTGTAACAAGTCACAATGATCTGAGCTTTTAAAACATTGTTTCACATTCATAAAAAATAGTAGCACTTGTGATATTTATAGCAAACTGCCATCATCATTGTAACATCTACAAAGAGCCTGCTAACAGCTCCACTGTAATGATGTACCAATTAGGGATGCACTGATACCGTTTTTTCAGTATCGAGCACTGATATTTTGGTTTCGGTACTCGCATATACCGAGTACCAATACCACTGCCATGGAGCCGACTTCCTGGGCAATCTAGTCAGAGGTTTGCCAGGGAAGCCTGCTCCATGTTGTTTGGCCAGCTCAATGCGGATTGGAGTAATGACCCGCCTCCCAGTTTCCTGATTGGCCGCTCGATGCTGATTGGCCAGAAGGTTGGTCTTTGCTCGCTCAATACTCAGTATCGATGCATCCCTAGTATTAATATATTCAATGTCACTACAAACAGCGAACAGAAAAATAACAAAGGCAAAATGTGAGATGTATTGACTGAGAATAATGTGCTTTTCTTCAGGACTATGGATAATTTCTTTGGCTTTGCCTTATTAATAGAGTTAAAAATGATACAGTAAACTCCCAGTTATCCAGCACCCAAGGGGATCGGTAGGTGCCAGATAACTGTAGTTTCTGGTTGCTTGAGCGTTAATAGTAATATTTATAGAACGGCAACCGAATCTAAACAATGGGGAGCAATTGCCAGCCTGCTATTGGCTATTTCAAATTGCAATAGTAGGCTGACAAATGAAATCTGCTCACTGAGCAGAACAAACCTGAGAGAGAAAGTTCTCTCTTCTGCTCAGTGGGAGGGTACAATAGCCAGCCTACTATTGGCTATTGCGATTTGAAATAGCCAATATCAGGCTGGCTATTGCTTCCCATTATTTACATTCTGCTGCCGGTCACAGAATCTAACCGCCAGCTGGCAGCAAGATGTAAACAAAAAATTTTCTTAGCAACTGCATACGTTTAGTTGCTAACAACATTTTTTAGTGTGCACCAAGCAACCAACAATTATTTAGTGTGCAGCAAACCACGGGCCGAAAAAAATCGAGGACATATGGCCTCAATTATTTTTGCTGGTTGCTTGAGTGCCGGTTGCTTGAATGCAGCATAATGGGAGCTTACTTTATATGATCAGTAAAGATAACTTTCCTATTGTTGCTAAAGATTACCACATCATCTAGACAAGCAGCAGCAAAAAGCTGATGGAGTTAAGGTTATCATCCATCACATGTCCAGAACCTTTTAGAGCCCAAGAGGCATCCAGACAAACACGGGAAAAAAAAACAGGTTAGAAAAACAGGACTTTTCACCATAAAGCTTGTTTCTTGGAGTTCATTAAGGGACACAGGATCATAAGTAAATCACAGGGAAATTGATTATACTTCAGGAGTAGCTGGACACTGGCAACAAAAAAGCTGTTGTCTGGCCAGATATAACCCTTCCCACTCCCATGATGTTTCAGTTTTGTTGAAAAGCAGTATTAGGAGTAGATCACAAGCACAGACGGATAGGACCAGTGTCCTCTTAATGAACTCCATTTTGGTGTGAAGAGAACCACCAAAATGCCTGCCATTTTGAGGAGGAAAGGCATACAGGCTGAGGAAGACTGCCTGCCCATTGTCCAATCTTGGAATGTGGATAACGGATAAGGCTGGAATGCAGAATTCTGCACAAGACAGATTTTTTTTGCATCCTCATATTGCTTGATACACAAAAGTAAAGTTCATGGCAGCACCCTCAACATCAACAATGGGGTCTTGAAGTACAGGTGAAAAAACTAGAAACAGAAAGGGTGCCTTCTCCTTGTGAAATACTGTTTAAAAAAAACAATGGTTATAACATACTCACAAACACATCAGAAGTAATGGCATAACATTATCAATCAGACCTTAAGATTAGGTCACAATGAGCCGTATAGAAAAAGAGTCCATCATCACTGGACAAACCAGTTGTGTAGTATATGCTTAAGTGTTTTGGGGATTAGCACCCACTTCATCAGAGCTGAATACTGTAATACACTTACCTGCTCGACCGAATGGCACCTCCAGCCACGCCTACCAGCCAATCACAGCAGCCAACGTCACTCCTCACCTCCCTCTCCAGTCGGCTGCTTCCTTTTTAATTGAGTGATTTTAACCACTTGGCGCCCTAATGGAATCATGGAAGCCGAGCTCTTGTGATACCAGGGAAACGGCTCTTCATTCTGAATTTATTACCCTGACATATGTTTGTTTTCTGGATTCTTCTCCACACTAGCCTGCTGAAGCTTTGCCTAAACTACCTTGGATTACAAACTGCCAGCATCTTTCAGCTGCAGCCTGTATACCTCATTGTCTCACTTCCATTGCTGTAGTGTCAGCACCATACCTGGATCTGTGGCTGCATCTTACTACAGGATTCCACACAGCTTACAAATACTTACCAAGCTCTGAGGAGTTCTCCTGCATCCATCTGATACCGCATACGCAAGTACCATGACATTCCTGAGTTAATCCCAAATCTCTCATTTATCTACATATGATTCTGCTTTTAGTTTACCTTGTAATTTACATATGACTTATTAACTAAGTATACTTGCCAGGTGGTGTGGAGTGAGAGAGAACTCTTGTCATAAATTAGGGATATCTCCTATCGGGGGAAATTAGTACTTAATTAGATTTTCTGTTAATAACCATGGATGTATGAAGTAATACACCTTGCTGTTATTGTGGATGATTATCCTTTAATTGTTGAACTCCATTCATTGGAACCAAGGGTTAAACAAGACATGCAAGTTACTCACCACTATTGCACTCTTGCAGTTGAGATCCATACACGTTTAGATATTACAAATAGCAACCTATGTGCCCAAGTATATATAGCCCCAAAAGCCATACACATTCTCAAAAACATTTTCCAAGTGCCAACACTAAACTTCCTACTAAAGTCTCCAATCCAAAAGCAGCATATATTCAATATACAAACGAAACTCCAGACATGCCCATAACTAAAATATTCAGTGATCCCATATTTAAAAATGTCTGAAAATACATAGATAAATGCTACAATGCTAAAATTATAAAACATGTTTTGAATCATAAACCGGAAATGGCATCAGTAAATGCCCACAAAACCAGATTCGGACACTCCCCACGATTCACTGGGCGCAGTCTCGAGCGGTACCTCAAAAAGAAGTTCAACCGTGTAAACTGGTCATTTGCTCGGGAAACCCTTCGCCATGTAGGCCTCGGGGTTAAAATGTGAACATGGATTGGAGCCCTTTATTCACATCCCTCTACAATGGTTCATGAAGCTTCAATGAAGCTGTTTCTGACACATTCCACTTAACTAATGGGGCAAGACAGAAGTGTCCCTTATCGCCTTTGATCTTTATTCTTTCACTTGAACCCCTGATTCGAACTATCCAGGTATCCCCAAATATGAAGGGTATTCTCACTGCGTTTTCTCAAAAAACTGCAGCTTATGCAAATTATCTCCTTTTTTATATTACCCCAACCAAAGACCTCGTTGCCCAATCTGATCTCTGAACTAACAAAATATCGGAGGCTCTGAATGTTTCTATACCCGAACCCAGATTCTGTTTACATCAAACTCATTTTCCGTTTAAATGGGTGGAAATAGATTGAGCGAAATTTATCAAGACTGCAGCAGACAAAATCTGGTGCATCTATGCATGGCAACCAATTAACTTCTCTCTTTCATTTTCAAATCTTAACTGAACAGACTGAAGAGAGTAGCTGATTGGTTTCCATAAGCAACTGCTCCAGTTTTGATAAATTCCCCTCATTAAGTATTTAGGGGTTTTAATTTCCAGTGACCTCTGCAAAATGTTCTCAATTTTCCACTCTTAGTGAAAGTGATTTAGTCGGATCTTGGCAATTGGAACCATTCTGTGTTTACATGGTTTGGCCGCAATATTATTCTAAAGATGCCTATACTGACCAGATTATTATACTTGCTCCAAACCCTTCCCGTAGACATTCCCACATCTTTCCTTCAACAGTTGCAATCCATCATTTTAGCTTTTTTATGGGCTAAATGCAAAGCTTGTATTAGATGTAATATTCTACCTAGGTCCAAACGAACAGGGGGGATAGGTTTCCCTGACCCAATCTTATACCACAAGGCAGTCCACACTGCACGTATGGTGGACTGGTGTTGTAATGCAGAGGGTAAAGTTTGTCATTGGAAAAGGACGCCTATAATTGTCCCCTCAGTTTTTTTTAAACCAAAGATGCGGCTCCAGACGTGGCTCAATCCTCTATAAAGGGCGACTATGTGGATGCTGGGGAAATATTTATTGTCCCCAAGCCTTTCTCCCTTACCCTCGCCTATGCTCCCTGTTCTTGGTAACCCAAATTTTCCCCCTGGTGTACAGGGTACCAATTTCCAGTCATTGGTAGACTGGAGAAACCCGAGCGTGTCATTTTACAGAGGGCTTAAGTTGGAATCCAATATGCAAGTTCAGTCCTTGACTGATCCCCTTTGGGTTGCTTGCATGCTCCTCTATGGCTTTTATGCATCGACTTGGGGTTGACTTTCACCACACATCAATCGGATCATATACTGTGTTTTTCCCATAAAGCCTCTATATCTAACAAAATTTAAGAGACAGGATACAAGATTTTCACGAGGTGGTACAAGGTCCCTTCCATCCTAAATAAAATCTATCCTGGGACCTCTCCAATTTGTTGGCACTGTAATGAACACCTTGGTACTATCCTACATGTGTTTTGGGAATGCCCAGTCATTCGTCCTTTCTGAGCTCTAATAGCGGAGACTGTTTATAACATCGTGGATATCCGATTACCCATGGACAATGTTACCTTTCTCCTTCATCTAAACTCCTTTTACTTAAAATCGTACAAGAATTCTGCTGATTCACTTGCTGAACACTGTCACTTGCTCCGTACACAGACCTTGCAAGCC